CTCAAGACATATTTTTTTTTATTATGTTATGTTAATCACCATACATTACATTGTTAGTTTTTGATGTAGTGTTCCATGATTCATTGTTTGTGCATAACACCCAGTGCTCCATGCAATATGTTTAATACCAATCACCAGGCTAACCCATCTTCCCACCCCCCTCCCCTCTAGAACCCTCAGTTTGTTTTTCAGAGTCCATCGTCTCTCATGGTTCATCTCCCCCTCCAATTTCCCCCCCTTCAATCTTCCCCTCCTGCTATCTTCTTCTTCTTCTTTTTTTTTTTTAACATATAATGTATTATTTGTTTCAGAGGTACAGGTCTGTGATTCAACAGTCTTACACAATTCACAGCGCTCACCATAGCACATACCCTCCCCAATGTCTATCATCCAGCCTCCCCATCCCTCCCACCCCCCACCACTCCAGCAACCCTCAGTTTGTTTCCTGAGATTAAGAATTCCCATATCAGTGAGGTCATATGATACATGTATTTCTCTGATTGACTTCTTATGTGTGAATAGAGGAAGGAAGGAATGAGTTGAAAGACTTGCCCACGGTCACAAATTAGTAGCTGGAGGAACTAGAACCACCCCCCCAATCTCCTGACTGCCCACTAAGTACTCCTGAGTGAGACCAGAACATGCATGAAAATAGCTAGGAAAACTCAAGCAGGTATCTTAGATCAGCTCCCAAGTGATCCACTTAAGCCCACCATAGGTAAAAAATGCAGCACACAAACACCAGCACATAAAGAATGTTCAGATTTTCCATGGTGTCTCTAGATCAGTCCCCTCCTGGCAACGATAATGACCCAGCAAGTACATCAAGGGCCTTCACCTTCATTAATCTCTCCTTTTTTTTTTAAGATTTTTATTTATTTATTTTAGAGAGAGAGAGAGAAAGTGTGGGGGGCGGGGCGGAGGGAGAGGGAGAGAAGCAGACTCCCCACTGATTGCAGAGCCCGACTTGGGGCTCGATCCCACAACCCTGAGATCACGACCTGAGCTGAAACCAAGCGTTAGTTCTTACCTGACAGAGCCACCCAGGCGCCCCCACCTTCATTAATTTCTTAAGCAGCTTCTACTTCATTGCCTCTTTGTTTCAGAGTCAAGATATACAGAGGCCTTGGAACCAGAATTTTACCAATCAGCCAGTATAAAGTGGTGTAGATGTATTAAAGAGTGCAGAATTCTCCCATCTCCCCTTGAGGGACAAGAAAGGGGCAAAATGTCATTACTTAGAAGTATGCTGGCCCATGATACCCGAAGAGTACAAGGTATCTAAAATCTGTTTCTAAGCAAATTTCCCTTCTAGGTACATATAATTCCGTTTTTACTAATCATGAAAGGTCACATGATATGTAGGCCTCTCAGATGCTATTCAACCTTCATCAACCCAGATTCCACATCTGAAATATGAACACGGAAAATTATTTGAGCGACTCTCTTCTTAATTCCCTCAAAGATGGTACATAACCTGGACCATCCTATATTCTTAGGAGAGGTGATCCATTATGTATGGGCATTAGGGCTTGATTCTCTCAAAAAACAGTGGCTGAGGAACATGCTAGAGCTGTCTAACATGCCTACATGTCCTGAACATGTCACAGTTGTGTGGCTATGCACTCACGTGCACACACACGCACACGCACACGCACACACGTTTCCAAAAAAAGCCCTTTTTTCTGAGCTCTTAACAATGCAAGCAGATACATTACCTCTAAAATTTTGTCAGAGGGAAGAATTCATTTGTATTCATGTGACACAAAGGCATTGTTTTTTTTTTTTCCTATTTGAAAAGCATTAACAGGAAGATCAGCATCTTTTGTAGATATGCAAATTATAACTCAAATAAGAACAGACTGCTGGTATGTTTGTTATGAAGAATATTAAGTGGATTTTGTAGGCAAGTTAGACCAACACGCATTCCTCCTGAAGCATTTGGGAAGGTCTTTCCAACTTTGCAGTTAATCCACCACTAATTCCGGAGCATCGCCCTCTTAAATGGCCTGAGAGGAGGTGATGGAGTAAAAACACGTTGTGTGTTTTGCCAACTGATTGCTAATTTTTTTTCTTTACTTAAACTGATTGATTCAAATCTCTTGTGGAAAACAAAAGTCCGTGATAAGTCTGTCATCTTGTCATTTTGGTCACTAGTTTGCAATGGTAAAATCAGTTTATAGTTGGTAAAATAAAGCCAAACTTGAGAAGGAATTCACATGTATAGATTGCCTGCCAGGAACCAGGCAAAGTGCCAGGTACTTTGCATCTATAATCTCATCTAACCGCCATGAGCTAAGTGGTGTTCTCATATCCCTTTTACAGATTAAAAATGTGGGCCTCAGATATACACAGCCACTGACAGAACTAATGGGATTCAGACAGATTTCCATGACTCATATGTTCAGGATTCTCAAGGATTCAGCAGATCTTCCTCCAGTGACGACAGGAAAATAAATTAGGGCATTTTACTTACTTTTCAGATGTATATCCCCTATTATGCAGCAGACAAAATCTCTGCCAAATATGACCACCTTTAACTTACCTTCATATAAGATCAAATGAAATGGGGAGCAGTAAGATGAAGAAATTAAAATTCATGAGTGATACTGTAAACTTGACCTTCTTGCCATGACTGATTCAAAGGAACAGTATTTCCAAAGAGCTGGTGTGCCATGTTTCACAAGAAAAGATTAAAACTCAGAAGACTGATGCCCCACTGTCCTTAGAATCCTGTGGTGGAGGAAACATACAGAATATAGTTAGATGATTTAATGATATTATTCTCAGATTGTGGTAAGGATGTCAGTTGGCCCAGAATTATTTTCACTACCTTATTCATTTGAAAATTTCAAGTTCACTGATGGTCTTTAATTAGGTTCCCAGGAATTAGAAAATGTGTTCTTATGTCTGAGCTAGAACAAGTGTCTGGGATTCACTGTCATGCATCATTTAACTTCTAGAAAATCCACTGTCCCTGCCTCTTAAAGAAATATTTTGGGTCTTCCTCCTCCTTGGCATGGAGCCTTGGGGACCTACTCAGAAAATAGAGAAGAGTAACTAAAGTATTTTCTTTTGTCCAAAAGCACAATGCCGAGGCACTTTAAGGATAGGAGAAAGTCCTTCTGCTAAGCCTCTTTCAACAAAGCATTAATATTTATTAACTTGCACTCTGCTATAGAATGAATGTTTTATGATCAAAAATGAGTAACAACAAAATGGGAATTTCAACCACAAGCGACCCACTCTTCCAGTGATAAAGAACTCAGGATGGAGTTAGCAAACCACTGTCTCTGTATTTTGGGGGACTCTCATGCACTCATCCAGACAAAGGAGTAATTGAATACTGCTCCATTACTGGAAAAAATCCCATCCATTACTGGAAACAATAATCAAAAAGTTATGAGCTTCCTTTATCACTAAGAGTCAACTAAGATGAGGCTATGAATTAATGTTATATTAATGCTACATTAACAAATAAGACATACATTAAAAGGAATGAAGGATATTTCAAAAGCTCAAAATTATACATTTTAAATTTAGATTAGGTCAACTCCCAAGCAATTCAGAAAAGAGAGGGCTCTTTTTTTTTTTTTTTCCAATTTTGAACAAAAGCGTGCCTGTCTCAAGTTTTCCTGTTCACTCATTCACTATGTATTGAGTAGATTCTGTGTGCCAGGCACATAGAAATGGATTTTGAAATTGGAATCAAGATCTAAAAAATGACTTTTATGAGGTCTGTACTATTAAAGACTGCCCTTACTAAATCACTTTGTAACTTCTTTAACAAACTACTCAATCTTACTACAGCTTTTCATGGTGAGTTATTACGTACTGAACATGAACGAGAGCATCTCAACTCCATAATGAATGTACACACCGCACAAAGGCACAGAAATAAAAACCCAGTAGCATTTATTTCTGTCCTGTCAATTCTGATGATTCAATACAGGGATAACTGTACTGGACCTTGTAACAGTGAGCTTGTTGAATATTCCTTTTCATAGTCATGAGTGAAGTCTATTCCTAAATATTTTAGGAGTAGATTTCCAAAACGTCTTGTTTCCATCGTGTCTAAGCAGTGTGGGGAGGGGGACATGCAAAGATTTTGGAATCAGACCTGGGTGTTAATTCTGATTTTGTGTGTAAGAAACTCTTGAAAAACCTATTTTACCTCCAGTTCCGTTTCTCCATCTATGAGATAAGCATGAGAGCACCCACCTTGCAAGGATTGTTGCAAGGAATACAGATAATGTCTATAAAGCAACTAGAACTAGCAACTCAAACTCAAAATAGGTTTTGCTTTTCTTTTGATATCAAAAATCTGAAAGACTTACTCTGTTTGGGGTAGTATAATTCACCACGAAATTAAAATAATGCAACAACAAACAAAGACAGATGAACATTTTGATTCATGCTCATCTCATGAGACACGTGTTTGACATTCAACATTTCCACTTAAATAAGGTGTCTAATAAGAACAGTGTTGATTTTTGAATTAACAGACCTTCAGATGACTGAATGGGCTTGACTGAAAAGATCACCCTGGCCCCCACCCCCTCCCCAACCCTACTCCAGAACCATGATTGCTCTGCTGTGCCCGTTGGAGTATGGACATCGTGGAGAAGAGAAAGAGAAAACAGAATGAGTAAACGTTAAAATTAATTGTGGTTCATCAGCAAATGAAAGATCGACCTCACAATGACACAATCCTTCACATGTCAGTTTTTGAGTATGATGAGAGCACAAACTCTAGCTTCTGTATCAACTCAGCATATAAATGAACACATTACTCTTTAAGTATAATCTTGCTGTGACTGGGGAACATTGACCATAAAACTTGCTACCCACAGTGCTATTAGGAGGAGGATGTAAACTCTGTTTTCACTGTACCAGAGAATTGATTTATCCTTCTCTCTGTTTCCTCTCTGGCTGGTTCTCCTTTTCATATTTTGCTCTTTTTCTTCTGACTTCCGCCTCTTCCTTTTGAAATCCTGCAGGTTGTCCGGCCATATCAGACCATGTCCAATCCCATGAGCAAGCTCACTGTTCTCAACAGCATGCATTCCCACTTCATTCTGGCCGACAACGGGACCACCGGGAAATATGGAGCCGAAGTGAAGCTGAGGAGACAACTGGAAAAGCATATTTCTCTCCAGAAGATAAACACAAGTAAGTAGGCTACTGTTCCCACTGCCGGGCCTCATAGGAAGCCTGTGGAAAGTGAGTAACTACAAGTATACCGTGTGGCAATATTATAAGAACTTGAGCAAGTTTCAAACAGGGATCATTATGAGTCTGCTGGACCAGTGGTTAGAACCTGAGGAAGTCATCTGGGGGAGGAGGACTGGACACGTAAGCGTGATTAGTGGCCTAGCGCTCATTTGTCATATGCAAGAAACTCAACCCCATCTGGGGTGTATGCAAGCAGATATGTTTTTCTTTCCAGACTTTTCCTACATCCTTTACACAGTACTCTAAGGAGGAAAGGCACCCTAGAGAAATTGTTTCTATTTGTTAAGCTACTTTTGTTGGCCAGAAATTTTATATATACATATGTTTTGATCTTAGCATAGATCTGCCCATGGTTAGGAATTTCAAGGCAACTGGCATTCTCTAAACAAAAGTAACCCTTGAGGAGGATTCGTGGCAGGCTCAAACTTTAGGGGTAATTGTATGTCTCATCAGGACAACTTGGATCTAATTGATCCAACTTTCAAAGCCTGCAATTCTAAATAACAAAAGATTCTCTTTGGCTAGATAAGTTTCCAAAAGCTCAGTGTGCTGTGATTCAGCTTGTCCAAATGGTTGCTCTCTCTTCTTTTCTCTGTAACTGTCTGGGGTGGGTTTTGCCTGCCAGAGCCGCCTTCCTCCCAAAACTGGAATGTTCGCCCTATCAGACCACAACTTCTCTTTCTTATACCTGTTGTGGTCCCAACTTTTAGGAGCTACTACTATTTTATCTTTTTCACAGAGATGTCTGGAATAGTACATTTTGGCCTAGGCCTGAAGTCCAAGTTGTATTAGGAAACTGTCTTCTATCCTAGAATCCCCAACTGTCTTTGGAAAGAGAAAACAGGATCATCCCAAGCTAGACATCTTTTGGAAAGACAAAAATAGAAAAGACTAGCAAATCTATCCAGAAATCGGCAGAGATCAAATGTAACTAAGCATTATAACCAATAGGTAGTAGGTTTTGTAATACTAAAATTGAATTTTATTACAGTAGTGGATAGAAAGGGCAAATGTTATGTTATGAGTGATATCTATTAGATTTTGACATTTTATACACCATCAGGTTAAGAATGAGAACCTCAATGGGAGTGACCTGAAAGATGCAGGACGGGAGCAGGACAGACAAAGAGCAAATTCAGGGTCAGATTCAGGGTGCTGATGAGGCGAAACCTGTCCAGCCCAGCAAAGCCTGGCATTGGGCTAGGCGCTGGTGGCAGCCGGGCCGGTTAGTCAGTAGTGAGGAGAAGAGCTAGGTATGTGGTGGTGTAAGTTATATACCCGGCTCAGGGGTGCCAGGGGGGTTAAAACCCCGCCAAGCCTCTGTCTGCCAAGCTCCATGCCTTACAGGCTGCCCAAGGACAGGTTGCTTTTTTTCTAACTGGTCATCCTAGAGGGAACATCTTTTTGTAATTTATCTGCCTGGAGGGGCACCCTTCCTGTAAAGCTCCCAGAGGTGCTCTATGTGTGGACGGCCCTGCAGTGGGGGGCCCATATAATGACCTTGCCACGGTGAGGCACAGAGCCCAGAAGCATGGAGTCGGAGAGCGGGCCAAGGCTGGTCAGGATGTCAGGGATGCTGGAGTTGCTGGGACCCCCTCCACAGGCCTCATGCCATTCATAGAGACAGTGGACCCTTGCTAGATTACCAAGGTAGGTAGCAACACACAAAAACATTGACAAGTGGGGACCCAGTCAAGGGTCTAGGGTAAAAAATGTAGGGGAGGAGCATGCACCAGGTACAGAGCTGAGGCACAAGGTCAGAGAGGCAGGGTAGAGACTCTTGAACTGCTCTAAGCCCACAAACAGGATTAGGTCTGGGGTAAGGGATGAGCCCCAGTGGGTTAAATGACAGTAGTTGGAACGAGGTGGGGGCAGGGGAACCACATGGTCATTGGAATTATCATAATTTATAAACATAATTTTCCTACATGCTTCGAGATACTTATTTGAGGATTTGCAGAAACCCGCAGGCTCCCATTGAGTAAAAATAATTAAATGGGAAGAAAAGGTTAAAGACACCCAGAGGCCATCTCTGAGGTCACAGGAAGTAAAAAGGGTCAGGGTCAGCAGTTTGCTCACAAGCTGTAGTGAAAGATGCCATGAGTTAGCTTTTACACCGGTTCTGTCCCTAAGCTTAACCTGAGAGGGTGATCAACCTGTCCCAGGTGCCTGAGACTGTCTCTTCTTTGGAAGTCCCATGTCCCTGGGTCCCCTCAGTCCCAGGCAAACCAAGATTACCCTCCAAGTGAGCCACTCGTGAGTCGTTAGGTCTCCTTGTCTTTTTGCTGCATTCACCCCAAAAAGCAGGGAAGGGGCAACAAGGTGTTCAGAGCTTAAGGAGTGTCCCAAGGAGTTCCCCAAAGTAGAGCAGGACCTTGAGGCCTCAATTTAGTTAACGGCAAAGTGCCCACTGAGAACACAGAAGCCTCCAGAACAGGACTAACAAGGGGTAAAGTTGACCCGGTTATAACAAGAAACAGCGGAAGTAAGAATACAAACCTTTAATGCAATCAATCCCCAATCAGTACCTTGGAACAGCAACTCTACTGTCCAGGGTGGACACTATTTCTTTTCCTTGTATCACAATTAGCAGTAATGTGGTTCTTCCCATTAAAAATAAAACTGATTCTAAAAACCTCATTTACTTTTGTAGTTCCCCCTTCAAAAGTTAAAGAAATCTAAAACACAAAGGTGGAACTCAATTTGGGGCCCCAGCGTGGTCTCTCAAAAATGAGACACCACACCACAATTAACAGGGCTCATCACCCATTCCGCCTCAGAGGACACCGGGGGTGCTGGGACTGCGCTCAGCGTTTTCCTAAAGTGCCATTCCTCCTCACCACCTAGGGGTGCCCTGCCTACCACGGGAGCCTTTCAAGTCTGTTTCTTACCTAAATGACCTAATCGTCTGAAGGATGCTTTCCTTAAATATTAAGTGAATCCTGTTCGGGAGACCTTTCAACCCTTTCTCATCAAAATGCCAATTATGAATGATAATGAATCACAAGCACCAGTGCCTTTGATTTGTCTCTGCACCCTGGCCTCCATTATCTCGTCTCTCCCCCGCACCCCACTCATTCCTGCTGTCACCAGCCCCTTCTCAAGTATTGTCCCTGGTCCCTGAAGGACTTGGTTTTTAAAGGAGAACCCTTTGGGGCATGCGCAGTGACCTGCTTTGGAACATTCTTCCATCTGCCACTTACTAAACTTCACACTTAACATGCACAGCCTCCAACAGCTCCAAGGATGCCTTTTAGGAGGCAGGTATTTCTTGAACTGCTGTTACAGACCAGTCATGGCTGAGGTCTGCGAAATTCATGGACCTTCACTCTAGAGGGGTAGAGTAATAGGTAAATCAGGGAACAAATAAATATATGATGTCTGGTAGTGAAAAGAACCGTTAAGAAAAAGAGAGCAGAGGAAGGTATAGGACTGGACCTGCGTGCGCGGTTTGCACGCATACGCACCCGCGCGTCGAGAGGCTGGTGTAGAGCAGGTGGTCAGGGAGGGCCTCTTTGAGGAGGTGACACGGAAGCAGAGACCTGAATGAAGTCAGGGAGCCCACTGTGGGGAGAACATTCTGGAAGGGAGCGGAAGTAGGGACAAAAGCCCCAGGTGTTCAAGAAAGAGCAAGGCATTTGTAGAGGGCTAGGTTGTATTCTAACAGAATTGTGATCCGGCAAAGTACAGGATCTGCTTCCCGGTTTAAAACATCACTCTGCTGCTGTGTGCAGAGACCAGGCGGGGGGCAAGCTTTCGAGCAGGGAGATGTGTTGGGAGGCCGTTGCAATAATGCAGGTGGGCATGAGCGGTTTGAAATAGAATGGCAGCGATAGGGGAAGTAAAACGTGGTCGGATTCGAATACAAGCATAGATATTTTCTTAACTGGGCTTTTTTTTAATTTTTATTTTTTTTTTATTTTTTTAAAGATTTTATTTATTTATTTGAGACAGAGAGCACATGAGAGGGGGGAGGGTCAGAGGGAGAAGCAGACCCCCCGCTGAGCAGGGAGCCCGATGCGGGACTCGATCCCGGGACTCCAGGATCATGACCTGAGCCGAAGGCAGTCGCTTAACCGACTGAGCCACCCAGGCGCCCTGGGCTTTTTTTTTAAATATAAAATATACATAACATAAAAGTTACCGTTTGAACCATTTTTAAGTATACAGTTCAGTGGTATTAAGCCCATATACATTGTTGTGCGACCATCACCACCGTCCATCCCCAGAACGTTTTCATCATCCCACACTGAAATTCTGTCCCCATTAAACTCTAACTCCCTGTTCCTCCCCCCTCCCCCCTTCAGCCCCGGATAACCACTATTCTACTTGATATCTTTACGAATTCACCTGTTGCAGGTGCCTCATATAAATCATATAATATTGGCCCTAAGATATATTGTGCAGGCAGAACTCAAGAGGACTTGCTAATGAATTGGGCATTCAGGGTAAGGAGTAGACACATCAAGTGAAAGCTGCAAGGCCATTCTTAGCAACACTGGTATATTCTTAAAACAGGGGGACTAGGGAGAGCCCCAGAGGAGTAAGCTATTGCAGGAAAAAAAAGTGGGGGATCTCTGGGGAATTGGGACGAAGTCCCTAAGAGAGAGGGAAGTGATGAGATTCAGTGCACAGATAAAGAGCTCCGCCATAGGATGTGGACAGCTTCATCCTGCATAGCAGGAGGGAGGGCAGAGCATATGGGCACAGACGTGGGTAGGATGGAACGTTTTCTGCTGGGATGATCAGGTACTTCTCTGTAGATAGTTTCTTTATAAAGAAAAGAGTACGGGAGGTCATCAGCAAAGAATGTGGAAGGGGAGGAGGGAGAGATTAGGGAGCAAAAGGAACTATAGTTAATAGAGAGACAGGGAGAATGACCGGACCAGGGAAATGTAGCATTAACCCACAGCACCCTGGTCCCACCGGGTATTTGT